CAATTTTTTCATTAATTGAAGTAGTCGGATGTATAGTAATATATAACAACTCCGAAAATAATTTTTTTTTAATTATCATAAAAATTCATGCACTCATTTACTATCATTTGAATAGGTAGACAGATAATCAGATAGCACTTAATTAATTCAATAAATAATACTCATCGATAATATGTTAAGAATCTTATAGGTTCCTACATATCATTACCAGCTTACAATCATCTCGAAAAACCTAACATAACTTTTCATAATTAGAAATATATTATAAAAAGATATATAAGGGCGTTCAATACCTTTTACACAAAGTTGTTGAAATTTCTCTAACAGAATCTCTTCAGATTATCCGTTTACTTATGTAGCAAATATATTTAATTACTGGAGTACTAATTGTATCTATTAGTTCCTCAAAATATTTACTATAGTAGTCCACATTTTGGACAATATTTCCAACTTTCTGGTCAGGGGACTCGCATGGTTAAAACCAGTTTCATATAATATATGTATTAAGTTTCTTTTTTCTTTGTTTTCCCTTGAGAGAGAGAGAGAGAGAGAGAGTATCTCTAACACATATTCTCTCCATCATTTTTGCTCTCTTTTCCCATATCCCAATATTTCTGTTCTAATGAATTATTAAACATTGATATTTCACTCGGAAGTGAATGAAATTTTTATTGCTAATGTAAAATAAAAAATACATATAAAATAATGTGAAAGTTTGAAAATATTTTTATTAACATTAAATTCTGCCCACATCTTCGAATAATTTAGCCATGAGTACTTTTACTAGTTATTGCGGATAAACATACTTTAACGCCATTTTTATTTAAGTATTCAAAATAGTCCAAATAGTCGAAAATGTATAAAAACAAATATATATTTTAAAAATGTTCACTTCCAGCTGTTTTAATATTATTTATAGCAGATTGACACTTAAAGAGAAATCATTCATTGCCTTTATTCTTTGTAATACTTTATTCTCATTTTTATTTTCATTTTTATTTTTATATTCAATTTTATTTTTAATTTTATTCTATTTAAACACTTTTTTCGCTATTGTTTAAGATTCGTTCTACTTTTAGCAAGAAATTCATAAATATTCTTCGTCAAAAATTTGCTCGGTTTTAACCTTCAGTTGATGATTATTTTGAAAGCAATTAGTGAGTTTATTTTGAAATCTTATGGCAACACTTCTCTGTGATGAGTGTCAGTGAAGATAAACTAGGTGTTACAGATGTTAGATGTATAGATAATTAACAACAAAACTTATGGTTTCCATTTCCTTTCATACCTCATCTGTTCTTTAACTTATTTATGATATTGAAGGCGGTTAGAAAATATTTTATCTAATGGTGTCGGAAAGTGGAGAATGATATTTTTTTTCATAGCCTCAACCGAAAAATTGTATATAAGAATTATCAATAAATGCATATATGGTATAAAAAAACATCGTTTACATTTTTGACAAAGGAATTACTTCAAGTGAAGACTTGTAGTATATTTTGCTATGGTATTTGATATGTGGGCCAGAGCGTTAACCCATGTATGTATATTAAAATATTTAGAATCAAAAGCCATGAAAATTGATTTTTTGTATATATATTGTTTCCTATACGTCAATTAACTTACTGTCGCTTGCCTTCCATTTATGACCTGGACTTATCAGAAAGGTTAGTTGTGTAAAAATATATCAAATTTATAAAAAATTTTATGCTTCTCTACTTTTCTCTCTATCTGTTTTAAGATTATTACATATAATAATTGTTGGTTTGTAGTATAATCCAATAATCATACATGTATAATGTATAGCCCATATATAATGTAATGTATAATTTTTAATAGATTCTATAAAATTTAATTAGAGTTTCCTACTTACTACTAATTTCCGCTAATTGCTTTATAGAAATATTGTAATAAAAATTTTTATTGCCTGCCTTACACATTTTTACATGTTCTGAGCCATTGATAAGATAATCAAAGCCTTGTTCGCCGTTATTGTTATTTTGTGTTTTATCTCATGTGATGATGATACCGGAAAATCGAAATGTACGAGTATTCATATATCTACTTTTTTACTTCTCTTTTTTCGGCAATGTGAAAATTATATTATTTATTTATTTATTTTTAAAAATCTTCGCGTTTTTGGTTATAAAATCTCAGTGGGTGGACAATTAAGTTTAATTCTCTACATGTTATTTTATCTTTTGACAAGTACTCATGGCTGCTGTTTTTTCCTGTGTACATTTGTGTACATTTTTTGAAGTGTACTCATTCCATGAAATCACAGCTAAATGAGATTTATTTCGTGCCTCCTGCTGTGCCTCAATTAGATTAGTTGTATTAGATTTTCTTTTCTTTTTTTTTCTATAGTCAAATTTCTCTATAGTGCAATTTACTTAATGTACTTAATTCGATTTAATAGCAATTATCGTAGTTGATATGTGAGATACATTCGCATATCAAACCAAATTTTTTTCAGTTTACTATTCTAAATTTAAGAATTAACTTATAAAATTTATAAGTGATAGACCGAAGAAAGATGATAAAATTTATCATCTTTATCATTTGAATAAAACTACAAAATATTTAAAAAAATAAAAATTAAACTTAAACAAAATGTGACTTCTTCGAAAATTGAAAATTTTAATTTGTAAAGAATAAAAAATAAAATATAGATATTTTTTATCTATGAATGAATACTATGAATAGAAAAAATGATTATCGGAATGGTATTTAGAATCAATGAACATAAGCTTCGCCGGTACATCACTATTCACGCTTCAGAAAAACAATACCTCGGTAATTATACTAAACTGCGCTTACATACCTCAAGCTAAAAATATCATTTTTTTAAGGATTCACTTAAATAAAAAATTGTTATGGCATTTATGCAAAGTAATTAAGAATTTCAAATCAAACTTCAAGTTGTGAAACTCCATTGGGTACTCTGTAGCCAATCCCTTTCTAGTTTATGTCCTGAAGTTATTTTATATAAATCATCATTAAAAAAGTTTGGCCATATGGTCTTCATTAATTAGTATGTATGTATGTGAATAAAATATTGACTCCTATAAACCGAACAGTCAAAAATATTAATGGTGATCACAAAAGCACAGTGGCACAGAAACAAAAAAATTCTTAAAGATCTTAATAAAAAAATTAAAAATTTGTAGAAATATAGCAGAAATACGTTGAAAAGCAGAACCATTTAATGGTAACCTTTTAGCTAGAAAACCTACTTTAACGGTTGCACATTCAGAAATGAATATATGTAAGAGACCACCCGGGCACAATCACAGTCTAAACTAAACTTATCTTATGTTATTAAAATTATAACTTTTTCTCTTTTTGTTTTCTATTTCAAATCCTTTCTCCTTGCAAGAACCCGAAACTCTAAACCTTCTATTCAACCGAACATTATTCCTTTCTATTCATATAAACCCAGCTTCATTTATGTAGTGGTCCGTAAGCTTAAAAATAAATTATTAAGCTTAGTTGACTTGTAGTTGTTTACTATAAATCTAAAATCTTTTTGTTAGTCTCTAATTCCATGGATAGCAGAAAAAGTCTAAATTTGTATATTATGTGGTCCCAACAATTTATCAGAAACGACAACGACTTCGTCATTCAAAACATTGTTTTTCACAAATGTTTATTTCCAATGTAGCTGACTATGGGTGTCAAATAGTGACAATTGATGAGACATAGATCCATTCATTCACAACTGAGGGAACACTACAAGCCAGAGATTGGGTAGAGCCCGAGGGTAGTGCTCCCAAACAACCGCGAACTTAACAATCGGGTGGAAAGGTTTTAGCTTCCCTATTTTGGGACTCAAGTAGAATAATTTTCATAGTCTTTTTGGAAAAACAATATCATCAGACAACTATTGATTATTTTTGGATCGATAGAATGAAAAATTCAATCACATTTATCCAAGAAAAAGTTTTGTTTTTGCAGAATAACGCACCCGCTCACACGTCAATGAAAACCATGGCAAAATTAAATCAATTACGGTACGAACTGCTTCTTCACCCACCATATTCTCCAGTTTTGGCTCCCAGTGACTATTAGCTGTATCCAAACTTTAAAATATAGCTCTAGGGAAAGATATTTGCTTCAAATAATAGAGTGGAATGGAACACTTAAGAGGACTTGATAAATCATATTATTAAAAAGGTTTATTGAAGCATAAATTATTATTTTCCAAAAAGAATGCGTTTTATTACTTAGGACGGGTATTTATTAATCCATGTAGTAGATAACCAAATCGCACCGACGACAAATTAATCTATTTTATAAATCACCGGAAATGAATGTATTATATTGTGCATCAAAAAATCAAGTTATAAATTCTGGCTTAGCAAAATATAACGGATTACTTAAATTTCACTCTAATCATTTTAATATTAAATAATATTTAAATCGTGTTGCTAAAAACTTTTGCTATGGTACAAGCCAGGACCATTAAATTTAGTTCTTAAATAAAGCATCTGTACGCATTATCTGTCGTACTCATTCGAATAGTTAGCAAAGACATTTGGTGACAACAAAATCTAGATTTGAGCTGCATAATTATAAATATAATTCATAGTAGCTTTCCAAAATTTCAAAATCCATTAGAAACATTCACCAATGGTTCAGTTTAAAAAGTTTGTTGAGCAGAGTTTTTAAATACATAATATAATAATAAAGCTTGATGATGATTTAAAAGCTGTCTTACTGAATTAAGCATCCTGAACACGTTGAGAAAGTCAATACTATAATCGCATTAATTATAAGAGAATCGTTCATTAGTTATTTATTTATAATTTATGCCATTAGATATTTCACTCTTAAATGATTTTTAACTGGACTTCAAAAGATATTTAAGTATTTAAGGGACAACATCAAACGAAGATTTACTCAATCAATACGAGAAATGACTTTTCACTTTTCAAATTATATTAATTTAATAATTTTATAGCGTTAATATTCTTTAAAATATCTTATATAAAATTTACCTTGTTATAGGACCCGGTGACTCGCTAACTGCTTTCAGTGATCTTCTTAAATGTTTATGGAATGTACCGAGTATAGATTCTTTACGTGCAACTGATGCACTATTTTCACTACCACCACCGCAACCGTCACCACCATCAAGCACACTGTCACCGCCGTCCTTACCACAAATCGGTGCTAGATGATCCATTGTAAGTGGACTAGTTTCTTTTTGGCCAATTGTGTGCCTATCACTAATAAGTTTACCGTCGGAATTTGTCATTCTAACGATCACAGCTCCATTTCCTGTACTATCCTTATCGTCGAGTAACTTTGTCCAGGCGTGCTCGCCTATATTTTCTGTTTTGTCCATAATCATTCTGTGGATTGTGGTTCTTTGCGTGCACTCGTATATAAATTCAATTGTTTCGATAAATGCATGCAATATTTTGGCAATTTACAGCAAAAATTTTGCAAACTATTTTTGCAATACTCAATTTTGTTCAAGCCGAGCACAATCATCGAGTTAGTTGCGTGCCAAGTATTTGGGTGCGTTTGAAAATTTTTGAATTCGCGCGGTAAACTGTAAAGAAATGAATGTCGTTTAGTTATAAAATTTCAATAACATTGAATTTAAAAATATTTAATTTTTTAGTAATTAAACTAAGCAGTTAAAAAGCATTCATTAAAGAAACTCTGACGATTGTTTACGTTCTGAAACTCGCTAAGTCTTACGAATAATTTATGACAAAACAATAATATGGGGAAGCACCAAAAGATTACTAATAATATAAGACACATACAGGGTGTAATTTATGAATCTCTCACATTTTTAACATATTTTAAGCAAATTTTTGACGCTACTATATTTTACATACCACATGGAACATACATACTCGACGCCGAATATAAATTAATGCAACAAACTAGTATTAACTAGTTCAATGTAATTATAACTGCTTTTAACCAGTTCGAACAGGTAAAAATTTAAGTTTATTCAAGCTTAAGTGTAGTATAGGGTGTATAATGCTGAGCTTTCAGAGTTTGTTTACTTTTTATCAATTTCGAATATACACACATATCACTGAATTTCTTGTTAAAATGCAAAATCATTATAAATATTCTTCTCATAATTGACTTGAAATAAAAACCCGAATCTTCTTCGTTGGATATTGGCGAGTGAATCACACAACTCGTCCAAAAGCGCCAAGAAACGATATACCACATTAATAATTCGACATATCAAAATAAAGTCACTTATGCATATATATATATATATATATATACATATATCTTAATATAACAAAATAAAAACAAATAAAATAAATAATATATAAAGTCAAAATCAGGAATGCAGTGTCAACAAATTCATACGTAAGCAAGTTACGCATTCGTCAGCATTTAAATTTATTAATACGCTACGCTCATTAAAAATTCGCAAATCACAGCACGTCATCGATTTTTAAAGATATCAAAGAAAAAAAAAATATATTAAGTATTTTTTGAATATTTTTATATCTATTTAGTATATACTTCATACATTATTCATTTTTGTTTAAAAGATGAATTTGAATGAATGAATGTGAGAGAGGAAGCAATGTTGTTAGAACATGATAGCATTTGTCACAGTCGATATGGTTCATCCATACAATAACCTGAATTACATAAAGAGCCCAACCCTTCAAAATAGTCTCTTATTTTTCCCATGCAATTTCTACAGTTTCATAAATATCGTAGAATCTCAAAGTGCTTAATATGGCGAATATGTTGTATAGGGAAGTACTTTATAAAGAAAGTCACAAAATTTAGCAACGGCTGTTATACACGTATGATACATTATCTTAAAGCAAGACCAATTTTTTTTTTTAGTTAATGAAAACAGTAATTCTTTAATATGTTGTTGACAAATTCATTATTGGTTAAATGTTAATTAATTAATAATAATAATAGTCAGTGCACTCCATCACTTCTATCTTAAAGCCTTAACCCACTTTGTACTGGTATGCTCGACGGAATCGATTGTTTATGAATGGTTCTTTAGTGGATGTTTCTTTATAGTAATGAATTTATTGAAATAAATACCGTTGAAATGCTTAAATGCTTAAACTTATCGTATATAACATTAACTCGAGATGCATCTTGCCGAAAACTTTCTAAAGCCAATAGTCTCTGCAAATCTGAAATCAATGTACAATGTGATAATACTAGAAAAACACTTTAATTCATCGATTCATCAACTGTTTAACCATCGAAACAACGTGTTCAACTCTATCAGTAATTCCATTTGCATGAATTCAAATGCAACGTCCTAAATGAGGCAAGCTACAGGTAGATGTATAATCACAGTAGTTATTAAAAATTGAATGTAAATCGGTTTTTTGTCTACAAATATTCTTCTTTTTAATCAAATGAAGTAATGAAAACAAAAAATGAGTACTTTTTAAAATTTCTAGAAACAAATAACTGAAAATTGAGAGTTGTCGAAAAGTAAAGAGACATCACATCCCAAGCATTCCTTCATAAACTTACGATTAATCTATTAACTTGCATTTGTATACAAGTAATTAAGAAGAATTCTATTTCCAAATGCCATATACAGTAAGACCCCGCTTAACGCTGTTTCGGTTTAGCGCTCTTTTATTTCAACCCGAACATTTAAGCAGATGTTTGAAAAAACAGACCGAGAAGAGATGCTTTCAATAAGAGAATTTTGGAAAAACTACAATATCATGAATGTTGTAGAAAACATAAACCTTTCTTGGAATGAGATAACATAAAGATCTTTCAAGAGATTATAGAAGAACATTTGACAAGATTTAAGTAAGAGCGAAGACATTGAACCCTCCGTTCGATATGGATGAAATAGTGATAGAAATAGTGGAATTAGCGAAACAAACCGGTTTAGATGAGGTAAAAGTGGTGGAAGACGTCAAAGAAATAGTTCAAAAAACGGCAGATAGTTTTTCTAATGATGAGCTCTAGGAATTAATTGAGCAAAAAGAAAACAAAAATATTAATAGGAATAATTTCGAAGAAGAGCAAAAGGAACTTTTGATGTTGTTTGTGAAAAGGACCACTACAACTAAAATTATAAATTAATTTGTTGAAATTGATCCAAATTTTGGCAGGAGTTCAAAAGCAAGACGGGGTGTTATAGATGCTTTATCCACTTATAAATAATTTCTAACAGAACTCAAAAGAAAAATCGCAAACTACATTAGATGCCTTCTTGACAAAAAAGCAGAAGATTGGAAACACAGAATAGACTGAATAACATTGTTTTTGTTTTTGGAAGAAATAAATATTTGGTTCTATTATTATTAAAAGCAACATAATTATTAAATTTAATACCTAAGCAATTTTCTATCAATTTTCCCCTAACCCCAATATTTACATATTAACATAGCCTCGTTTAGCGCTGTTTCGCATTACGCTCTACTTTCATGGAACATATCCCAGGCGTTAAGCGGGGTCTTACTGTATATCCTATGTTATGGAAAAATAAATTACAGACAATATATATTATCATAAACCAGTTTAATACTTTTATTATCACAATTAATTCAAAATCTGATATCGTTTTACTATAAGTGTAATCGGACATTTGAGCTTTTGCAGTGTATTTTAGCTATAAGCACTTAATCATTGATATGACTTTAACATATGATAAGAAATACATGGGGAAACATACAACTTATTAAAAGTGAATTACTTTCTAAAGAACTAGTATACATATCAAGAGATACATATAAACATATATTATCGTTTTTAAAAATGAACATATAAATGAATTAAAACTTCTAATTATGATTTGTTGGACTTTGATTTAGTTTTGCATTATCAAATTTAAAAGAAGTAGTAATTTTCTTTAAATAATTTTTATTTGACACACCAAAATTTTTAACATTTTTTTAATTATTATTACAATTATTAATAATCTTTTTAGTTATTCATATATTAGCAACACTTTAAAAATAAAATATATTCACAATGAAGATTTATCATTTCAGGCATTTTTATTTTGCCATAGTACAAGTTCTGTAAGACTATTGGAATTTGTTTAAAATCGCTTAAAATTATTATAAATTCAAATACAAGCATTTTGTTTTATATTAAAGTTTTTTAAATTATTTACATAATTAATTATTTTATAATTTGCGGTCTGAAAGACATTCCACTAAAGTTTTTGCAAATTCGAACTGATTTTTATTTCTTATCAATTTTTTATTGTTTTGAATCCTAACTTTAGCAATTACTTATTTCTACTAAACTATTCTGAGAATTATAATACAATACATAACAGCAAACTTAAACTTGAATATTAATTGTTTTGAGAACTTAT